ACGACTGCAAATTGAATATGTTTGAGCGCAATCACTTATGGCTCGCTCCTTTGCGCGAATTCGTACGGCGAATCTGTTCGCAAAGTGCGCAAACAAAATTATTGCAAGCAAAAGCAAACCACGCGCACGTCAGACGCATGCGCAGACTGCATCACTTGTCAAATGCATGTTAAATTATTTGCATCTTATATTAATTTAATTTTTGGCACATCTCAGCTGCTTTTCGGCATTAATAATGTAGACATTAAATTTTCTTATTCATAATTATGAATTTATTATATTCTAATATCGCCTTAGCCTATAAGTGAATAGAAATGTTTGGCAAATGACAGTCCTCAATTGTTTTTAATGTCAAACTAAGTTTCAAATATTTTCAAGGGCAAACAATGATAAGCGGTTTTTTATAATTTTTTCTATTTATTTCTACAATCTAACTATATTTCTATGAATCAAAACATTCTAAAAAATTTCCCGAACAAACTTCAGGAAGATTCATGAAAATCCGAATTATAGTTTAGGAGGAAATATGAAACTTACATTGTTACAGAAGAATTTTATATATAAGATATATATATATATATATATATTCTTTTACTTCGACGATTTGGCTGCAAATTAACATTTCAAGATATGTCTCAACGTCGAACAAAAAAATCTAAAACTCATATATATATATATATGTATATTCCACATTTTTATTAAAATTTTGCGTCGAGCTTAAAAAGAGAAAATTCTAACTTGTGCCTATGTATTTCAATGCACGTGAAAGAATGCAATTTTAATTAAAATTCATATATATTAATTAATATACAAAATATTGCGTCAGAGTATTATTCTATAGTGCGCGGTACCACAGTAGAACAATTAGTTCTGCACATATTTTTGCTTTGTAATATTATTTTAGGTGCATATATATATATATATATATATATATATATATATATATATATATATCAACTAATTTAAATATAAATTATATTTTGATTTGACTTTTTGATAAACACTGATGAAACAGTATTATTATAATTAGAATTTAATGAGCAAAGTAAAATTTATATTAAAAAAAGTATTGTCTTGTAAAGTAAAATATATATTACAAAAGTATTGTAAATAATAGTGTAAAATAAATATGAGCAGTTTTAAAACTGTGAATACAGCTCGTTTGTCTTAGGCCACACAATTTTAATTTATACATTTTATTTTAAGGTAAAATAGAAGGACTGAAAGGATTTGAACGAAGAAAAATTCAGATGGTTGATGACTTACGCGAGAAGAAGAAATACAGAGAACTGAAAGCCGATGCACAGGAGCAGGAAGCATGAAACCAGAAATTTGGAAAGGAAAATTCATAAAAACGAATATAAAGTGATTAATTGTCATTAATTGATGGTAATGAAACGGTAATGAGAATAACAAACAAGGGAGAAGAAAAAATCATTGATTTTGTGGAGCTCTCATACGATGAACCTGCCTTCGGGCAGACTACTATACATTTATTATTATTATATATATTAAGTCTATCGAAAAGTTCTGTCCGAAATTATGACATCATTTTGGACACATTTGTTGCATGTTTATTTATTGCATGCCCTGCGTTGTACTATATAGTTATATTACATTTTTTTTTATTTTTAAATATTTTGGAAATTTTGTACTTTCTTCCAATGCAATTGAACTGCTGTAGCTGCCGAAGAGACGAATTATCAAAGCGCGTAAGCGCCGCGTCGCCGTCCAACGGACAAACGATGTAACGGAACCCATAGAAATGTAAACAAAATTGATACTCATTAATAAAATTTCTAAACAATATCTGATAATTTGATGTGCATATGTCTAATGATCATTTTTTTTAACTTATTTTTATTGAAGACCACAACCGTTAGACCTGCTGATTTTTAACTTCCCGTAGGGCAAGTTATAGTAATCGCAAAAAAATCAAAAATGAAAATTTTTATATATCTTTACGTTTCAAAATATTCTGAACATTTTGGCATACCTTAGAAAAAATGGATGTATGTGTGTGTGTATGTATGTGCGTGTGTGTATGTATGTGTGGATACAAATTTTCGTCGACGATTTCGGGAACACGGATCAACCGATTTGAATAATTCAAAAAACATTCGATTCGTATTGATAAGGAGACATGCTGATTAGTTTTTGGCGAGGGCAGGTCTAGCCGTTCCGAAGATACGGGGCAAAAAATGCCGAAAACGGTAACACAGTTTTTAAGAGAACGGAGCGTCCAATTTGAATAATTCAAAAAACATTTTACTTGTATTGACAAGATAAAGAATTGATCAAATTTTCATGAAGGCAGGTTTAGCGGTTTCGGAGATCTAATGAAAAAAGTAAAAAAAATGCCATTTGGCGGTTAAAAATAATCATTAGACATATGCACATCAAATTATCAGATATTTATAGAGATTTCAACAATAAGTATTTGCGCGCTTTGACATTTCGTCTCTATGCAGTTCAAGCAGTACGATTGCTTTGAAAAAAAGTTCAGAATTTCCAAAATATGTCAAATTGGAGAAAACATTTATCTTTTCAAAAAAATTTTGTTATCAGAAAAAAAATTTTTTTTTTCAAAAAAAAAGTAGTTCATTGTCAAATTTATAGTTTTTCAAAAATCTATTTTTTCGAAGTAAAAGTAAAATTTTTCAAAAATGTTAATCGTTTTTAAAAAAATAATTATTTTTGGTACGGGAAGTTCCAGCAATTTGTCTTAAGGCACGATGCCTTAATTGCCTTAAGACAGAATTCCACTTACAGCTAGTTGTTTTTTTTTGCCCCGTATCTTCGAAACGACTAGACCTGTCTATGCCAAAAACTTATCAGCACGTCTACTTATCAATATGAATCGAATGTTTTTTCAAATTACTCAAATCGGTTGATCCGTGTTCCCGAAACCGTCAACGAAAATTTGTATCCACACACACACACATAAATCCAATTTTTCTAAGGTATGCCAAAATGTTCAGAATCTTTTGAAACGTAAAAGATATATAAAAATTTTCATTTTCGATTTTTTTGCGATTACTATAATTTACCCTACAGGCAATATATAACATGGAAATAAACTTATATTTCCAGTTACGTTAGTAAAATTGTGAAAAATGTTTAAATATAGTTTAAATGTTCATATTACTATATCCTCACAATGGAAATAATATAATACAAATGAACAAGGAAAATGTTTTTTCTATTTTTAATATAAGGATAATCAAATTTCTACTGAATGAAGGCTAAAACTGTAGGCGAGTTTAGAACAATTTTTTAAAAATATTCATGTTTTTCATTGTTATCATACCCGATTATTAGAATCTGCCAATATATATATTATATATATATATATATATATATATATATATATATATATATATAAACTACAGTCGTATGCGAGCGTATGCACGTGCTTGTAGGTGTGTCGGCATACAGCCACGCCAATATATAAATATAATATATGAAGATATTATGTTGCACGCATGCATATTTATATTAAATATAAAATTATTTGCTTTTTATTCGGCAAAGACTCTACGCATGCCCACAAGGTAACCAAGACTACAGACCTACGCTTGTCCCGCTCTACTTACAACCCATGATCGAATTATCGATCCCATTCTCGCGAGACGTATTTAATTTAACAAACAAATTTATATTAAGAACCATATAAATGTCAGTTAAGGAAGATAAATAAATTTATATTATGATAAAACTATCTTCACGTAAACTATGAGTAATTCGCATTATGAGAATTGCACGTTTGGCTCACCTTAATGTCTAATATTTTTTCTAAGCATAGCGCTTTTTTGTAAATTAAAATCTCATTTTATTCAATTTAAAAAAAAAATGAAATCAATGAGTTTGACTTTTTGTTAAAGTTATTAAAATCACGAAAAGTTCTGTATATGTTGAACATCATTTTGGCACACCTTAGAAAAAATACAGGGAACTGAAAGCCGAAGCCCAGGATCAGGAAGCATGGAGCAGAAGTTTGCACATTAAAATACATAAAATGTGTAAAGGGGGGTGGGTATAGTGGTAATGAAATTATAGGCGACAAAGGATAATGGAACATTTATTTGTGGTGGTTCTCACACCATGAACCTGCCTTCGGGCAGGCTACCATTTATTGTTATTATTACTTTATTATTATTACATGAGACCAACGTGAAGACGTGGGCTATCACAAACTAGTACCGTATTCGACTTCAATCTTGCTCATGCTCCATATCAGGCAGTATGATATCAAATTTGCACTTGAGACTATAGATCTCACATATAATCTCATGTGAAAAATGCCTTCCGCGGACATTGCTGCACCACACGTAAGTCAACATATTAAAGAGAAATATTTAGTATATAGTACATAGTAGTATGAAATAAGAGCGATTAACCGCTGGGTTGCTTTAAGAATATCCGACTAGGAATGCAAGTTAGCAAACACAGTTCAAATAACACGTAATTCTGATCGCCGTTACAAAAAAAATTAAAAAATAAAATACAAAAAGATGCCCACATATATTTGTTCAATTTTGGTATTACAAGATTCAAGATAAAAACCTCGAATTAACTTAAAATTAGCTAATTTTTATTTTCTGGCTTCACATAATATAAACTAAAAATATAAATATTTATATTATTTTAGAAATAGTAGGAATGTAAGGTGTAATAATTAACTTTCTTCCGTGCCACTTAAGAGGTGAAGTTGCAAATCGCGTTTTCTTTTCTGTGGTGTCGCCATACAAATCGCGTTATATCCTTATTATCAATTTTTTTTTTAAACATTTGAGAAAAAATTGGATGTCGATAAATAGGAAAAATATGGATTTGTAAAACCCTAATCCACTGAAACCAAAATAAACTTTGAATCTGATCGACCAAGGTTAATTGAAATGACCCGAAAGAAACCTGAAAAAAATGGCACACTATTTCCAAGATGAGAAATAATATAAACACGAGAACGATAATAATAATTTATTAGAAGAATAGTGCATTTCATGAATATAAATATTGTTTAGTAACATATCGGTGTATTTTATATAGTCTAATTTACATTGTTATTGGAAACGTTTATTTCGAGTGATGTGAAGACACCTCCCAGGTACTCAATGCTACCTCGATTTTAGAAATATTTTAATTTTGTATATAGTCAATCTTAATATTAATCAATTAATTTTAACCTTTTTAAATCTTTCTTCATGTTTATACAATATAATACAGTTATTGTTGTAAGCATGTCTCACTACGACTATTTTGTTGATTGAAACTTAGTGATATTACATTTGTTACATTTCATATACAAGAGCATATTTTTCTTTATTTAGGCATTTTAACCATTTTTTTTTATTAAACTTGATAGAAAAATTTTAATTAATAAAATTATTTGTTCAATGTAAGTGTAATTCATGAACTAGTTTTATCACTTGGGAATGCATTTTTACATGCAAGAGTTCACAAATCTTTTTGATAGTTCATGAAATTTTTGAGAATATTGAAAATGCTTGCTTTGTATTTTTCATGATTACCAACTCTCGTTAATGTTCTACTTATTTGTAAGATAAGTTATATTTTGTGTATAATAAAATACATAAATATGCGTTAAGGCGTTTAGACAATTACATGATCCGAAAAAATATGTAACCCATTAGTGAATAATTCCGTTATAGTGCCTGAAAGAGGACACGAAGACGATAGATAAAACTTGTGAACTAAAAATATTTATCACAAAATCTTACATATTTATGTCGTCCCATCTGCATCAGGCTGACCAGTCCACCATGCTTCCAGGCGATGCCGGGGGTCACATGGTATTCCTTTGACTACCACGCGAAAATTCTACAATCCTGAAATTAAATGAGAAAAAATTTATTAAGTATAGTCATTATGAATGATGACTATTGAGAGTGGTATGCATTTATTTATTTATAAATTACGAGGCTTTAGACCGTGAATATTTTCGCAACAAACACTCGGTCAAAATTATAATAACCCTCTTCGGCCATTTGTCCATTTTCCACCTTTTTACTGTTGCGAACGTATATTTGTTTTCAGTCACCATGACAAGTTACTATACGAATCGTCTACTGTAGGTATTCATACAGCATACAGTAAATATAAACATAACTTTTATATAAAAAAACACTAGATAAGTGTATTATTAATAAAAATATATATTAAGTTGACAATACAATTACTGAATCTTGTTTACACATTTCATGTTCTTTCTACCGGCGGAAAGTAATTCCACTACGATACACATCTCCAAATTTAATACGTCCGAAAAGTTATAATAAAAAAATTATTACAAATAAAAACCAAACTCTTTTGACTACAATCCAATAGATAACTCGATGAATCTGAATATACATCAAAAATGTTTTAGAAAATGCTTGAAAAATTTTTAGAATACTTTGTAATAATGAAAGACTTACCATGTTATAAGTGTTGTCACCACAAGCTCTGGATACAAAATAATATCATCACGAGTTGTATTGCCGCATATACCCAATTGTGGGGCCAGAACGCGCCATAACTGCAATTTGTTACCACCTTCATAATAAAATTCAAATTCAAATTCGAATTGAAAATATGTTATCAAACGGGTGTCGAATATTCGGTTGGTATCTTATTTTTAGAAATAATTCAGGTTCAGAACCATTGACAAAATCGCAAACAAACTGCCTTTTTGTTATTACTTATTACTTATACTTACATGCGACATAACTATTGGATTGGTGAAAAATTAATAAAACGAGATGAAGGCGAAATTTCGTTTTAAGAAAAGTGGCATGAACGATATTTATGATATACTTAATATTTTGAGTAAGTATAAATTTTTATTAACATTTATGAGTGATTACAAGTATATTTTTGAGAAATACTTTGAATATAATACATTATTCGACGCGCGCGATAATGTACATAATGTACGCTCTAAAAGCGCTGTGCAAATGCAAACATTGATGAATTTTAATAATTGAACCACTTTTTGTACCATGTTTGTTAAGGGAAACAACTTTATCACTATGCAAGTTTCATTAATATTATCGAAAAAATGTTTCAAAAAGTGATTGCGGAGAACCGATTTTTTTCAAATTCTAATAAGCACAATTTCAAATTTTTTTAAATCTAACGTTTTTGACGATCAAGATACACATTTATTAATTAAAAAGTTGAATGAAATAAACCAACTAATTGGTAAACAATAATTTGCATCAATATTATTATATGGCTTGAAAAACATATTAACTATAATAACAAAATACGTGTTTGTTTGCTTCATTTAGGATACACTTTTACCCAAAATTTAAATTTAGAACACAAAGTATACATTTAATCCAGATTAAGTTTTAAGAAGAAAATAGTCCATAACATGTATTTTGTCGCATTTTTGTGCAACGTATATTCGAAGATAACCATAAAAACTACAAAGATTAAATTCATTCCATACATACATCACGTAATAGACTAGATAAAGATATACTTTTGTTATGTTGTTTTCGTTATTCACCAAATTTAATTACTATTGGCACGTTCCAATGCACGAAAAAGATTTAAACATCAATAAGAGAATTGTCATACTCTTTGATAAAGAGTAAATAGATTTGACTGATTTAATGTAATTTATACATACTACTATCATTACTATAACACTGTTTTTTTTTTAAAAAAAATTCTGCCTTTTGGTAAGTGTTAGTGCACGTTGGTACAAATCAACTTTCCGATGGTTGCATGTAAGTACACTTATCTAAACCAACTATCTGATAAATTTTCTTCTAGGTATGTAATCACAATTTATTAAACCATTTAAATAGTTATACATTTAGTTATACCTATACTATCCTCTATCATTAAGTAAAAATGGTATTTAAAATAGATTATTATTTTAAAAAACATGAATTATTAAATGTATTTACATTAAATGTCCTATAACTAAAATAAAGTGCTATTGCACTTGACAACTTTTGTTTTCCTCATTTATTCTAACCGTTCCTGAACTGGTGTTAATAATAATAGAGTAATGCTCGTATGGTTTAAATTTTTGAACAAATGAATGATACGGATTTTGCCACAGCCATAAAAAGAATTTTCATGACATTTTTTAGATTTGTCATATAGCAATTGTTTATGAATTAAGTTATATTTTTATGACTGAAAAAATTATCCATTAATTCTATAA